AACTAAGACATGCTGCATATAATAACTTGTATTCAAAAGAGGCATTCCCAGCGTTCGAAACAAATGCAAAGACTAACTATAGCAATGAAGTGTTTCTAGCATTTCTAGCACTGGTCGAAGGATCTTCCTCCACTTGGTTACAATGAAGCGTTCAAATTTCCTACCAAATCCCCTTTTTTTAAAGCATGATCATATATATAATACACATGTGAGTAGGCCCCAAAATTTTTTTTAGTTGTCCATTAAATTAGGAAGTGGCCGACACTATCAATCAATATTAGGTACAAATGATAACAAAGTATTGATATGATGGGGGAAGAACAACGAGAAAGAACAAAAACAAAAATAGTATCTTACCTACCAGTCACATGTAAATTAATCGATGAACATATTGTTCGCATTATATGCATCTCAATCGACTCTTATGTTTCTATTTTGAATCTCTCCATTCTTATTGATTAGTTTTTTTCATGTGTCATATTACGTGGTGTGCCATCACATTAAGTCACATTCATGTTAACAGTCGATTTACATTCAAAGAGATTGCTTTACTACCAAAATGTAAAAGCATATACTTGGAACGTCATACTTTATTATAGTCTACTCTATGAACAATAAAGATTTTTCCAAGTATTCACCCATAATTTTTCTTGGTTTAAGATTACATTTGAACCCGTTAATCATTCTTTAATTGATACAGAGATTAAGATAAGCACGAAAAATCAATCCACTAAAAATCAACTTACTAAATGAGATGTCAAAGTACTAACTTCTAAGTGGTTGTTTTGCTTAAGTTATCTCACATAAACATCCCGGCCAAAATTGACGGTGTTCTTTCGATAAAATTATTTTCATAAGCGAATTTGCGAATTGGTATCCATTGGTATTATCTTTTTAATTTGATGGAAAAGAGAAGACAAAAAGGGAGAGAAAAAGGGGACGGGACGTACATAGCCGGGCATGCGTGGCCAAGGGCCGTGATCGAATGCTTGGCGGGCAGCTTTCACAGCCAAATCCACGTCCTCTTCGTCTCCCTCCGCAACTCTTGCAGTCACTTCTCCATTTCTTGGATCTATCGTCTCGAATGTCCTCCCTATTCATCCAATTTCATTCACTGTAATGGATCAGAAACCCAAAAAGCCGAAGGAGGAGGAGGAGGAGGAGAATTTGTTAGGACTGCGAGTTTTTCTGCGGTACTGTGCAAAACCTTTCTCAAGATCAATCTTGATTCAGATGGGTCCTTTCCCTTTCGATACTCCGTTTTCTGTACTTCCGAACAGAGCAAGGAGTTGCAGTCATCAAATAAAGCACTGCTTGAAGGAGACAAACCCAACTTCGGAACGGTTTGGCCATGGCACGAATTTACTTTCTTTTTTGTTTCTCTATTTGAGAAAAAGAATAAGCAAGCAAGAACAGAACTAGACAAGAACATCGGTAAGAGAGACGAGTGCGGCGAAACATGAAACCAAGTAGTGAATTCTTCATCAAGTGCAGTGCAAAAGCTTGACAAGAAACTGGTGATTGAATTGGAGGGCCTTCATGAAATTCTAAAGAAACTGAAGGGACATAAGAACACAGAGCTGTTCTTTTGCGAGTCACCGAGAAAATCACAATTCGAACGAGTATTCCGAATCCTACCTTTGACAGAATCGACGAACTCGCCGTTGATGAAGAGCTTGGTGAACTTAATCTCGGGAACATGATCATCATAAGTCTTTAGACTTCCATTTCCATTGCCGTGGTGCTCTGCCATCTCTCTCTTCTCTGCACTCAAGCTCTCGCGATTTTGGGCAGGAGAGAGGGTCCCTTTGTTGTATAGTCAATTTTCCTTCTCGTAACAGGTAGGGGTATTTTGGGAAGAGAAACTTTTGGAGCCATCCTTATTATTCTTCTACGTTTGTTTAGCGGAAAATGAATGATTTAATTTTTTTTAAATGATCGCTTATATGTCTTACAAAAATAAATAAACAAAAAATATTTTCATCGTTCGCGAAAATACTTGGATATAAATTATTGGTAATAATGAAAATATTTTTCATTAATAAATGCAAATGATCCTTTTTAGGAAAATACTTTTCAAAACATTAATTTTTTACGAAACAAACGGAGCCTTATATGTAGGTTATATAGGTGACGAGACGAACAATCAGTCACAATATACAATTCGTCTAAATTCCATGAATTCCTCCTTTTTTTCTCAACAATTTTATGTGCGTTGCAATCATTGTTCCGCAAAATGGGTCGAAGCAATTTTTTTATAAAAATATTTCTAAAAAAACAATGAAAGAGGTGTTAGATTTCAGGGTTAATACCATGAAAAATCCTAAACTTGTACACTTATGATAATTTTACCCTAAACTATTTTTCTGACTACAAAAAATCCCAAACTGGTACACTTATGACAAATTTACCCAAAACTAATATTTTGACCACTAAAAACCCTAAATTGGTACGTTTGTGACAAATTTACCTTCCGTTAATTTACGTTAAATTAGATTTATATCACAAAAAATCACAAATTGGTACACCTGTGACAAATAGAGGGTAAAACATAAAACTAGCAAATCAGACAATTATCATGTGTCGTTTAACAAAGTAATTTGACAGTAAAATTTAACGGAAACAAACTTAGGGTAAATTTGTCACAGGTGTACCAATTTGGGGTTTTTCGTGGTATTAACCCTAGATTTCACTAGTGCAAGAGATATTAAAATGATTCATTCAACCCTTATTATACTCAAGTTAATGGTCAAGTCGAAGCATCAAATAGGCCATAGTCAATCTTATTAAGAAACATCTCGAAGAGAATACGGGAAGCTGTTAATTCAGTCCTTAAATGGTAGAATGCAAACTAATGTATTAAATAAACATTACGAATGGTCATTGTATATGAATTTATATGAGTTGGATGAATTCAAGCATTAGCACTAGAGAATATTATTGCTGAAAAGAAAAGAGTTGATAACAAGTTGCCATTGGTGACTTGGCCCGGAAGACTTTTATCGATTAATTCAACAAGTGATGAGCTTGGTAAGTGACCCCCCAGATGTATTGACTAGTAACACTAATTGTGTTGTAACTTGTGACACGACCTAAGCGAATTGTAACTTTACAATTAAATCGAGAGCTATAAAAATCGACAAAGAAATAAAACGTGAAATAATAAAATGACACAAGAAATTTACGTGAATGTCCAAACCTACGTCCACAGGAGAGCCAGCAAATAATCCACTAATAAATCGGAGAATTATAGAGTTTTACAATCATTCACACACTCGAGCGTTTCCCAGCCTTGGTTTGTACCCAATACCCACAGTGTCGAACAGCTCAACTCGATGGACTCGACTCTGCGCACAAATCTCTCCGAGCTCTCACCTCACTTCATCTCTTGAGCTCTCTACTTCTGTTCGTCTCTTGCTTGTGGAGAACTCACAGTGAGCTTCTCTATTTATGCACACAGAAGAGCCCGCACTCATTTATTATTACGAATGGAGAAGCCTTCCCTTCTCTTCGGCTGCCGCGGGAGGAAATCAATGAACAAAACAAACCAAGCCCACACCTTTTGATTGTTATATATAATACTGTCAAAGTTAGGGCCCCCTTCATTTATGTGTGCAGAGAAGATCTCACCGTATCGGTTGTCTTTCATGCAACTCCTTATAGTGCCAAACATTTGGAGTCTTCTTCATCAAATGTGCAGCCTGTCGCAGTCCTGTGCGTGAAGGAAATTGAAGACTCTGCTGCGGGTTAGTCCAAAAAAGTACCGTCTCATTTGTCTACAACACGAGGGAACTCTCTTAAATGGGACTCATGCGGAGCTTCCGATAAATGCAGCTCATGCGCCACCGAACATTAAATGAAAATGTGTGCAACCGAATCCACAAAATCAACAAGATGACCTACGTTAAATAATTTTAGATTGGGTATTGTCCAATGGCTCAAACTCGAGATATTTTAACAAGTTGATTGGTGGACCTAGATGGCATTGTCACAATCGATAAACGAAAAAGACTTTAAATTCTCTCATTCGACGAGTTGAAGGAGAGTTTGAGTTTGGTTGAGAACTGAACCTTGAGGAGATGAAAGCTTCGGTGAAAGGTTGAAGGTGAAGCGACTGTGAAGGTAAAAATGAAAAAAATGTAACCTTTGCTCAGAATTTGTACTATCTGAAGGATGTGCCGACTGACATGTCATGATTTTTTCAGAGCAGGTAACGGTAGAAAAAGTAAAAAGTAACCATCAGTTGTACGAGACAAAATAGAGTAAGCATTAAATGCATGTTTTTTATGATCACCACAAATAATAATGACTCGTTTAAATATTAAAAAGAATTAAATAATCAATGAAATCATTCAATCATTTTAGAAGGGGCATGTTTGTATACAAAAAATGACTAAGTTTTATTATCGACAAACAATGAGTTTAATCGATTAGTCATCAAAAATCAACATGCCATCATAAGAATCATTGACGATAGGTGAGAGGAGTTACCGACAAGGACTATTGTCAGTCGAGGATGCTTAACGACATCCATCACCACAAATTTTACTAAGAGTAGAAATTAGAGGACAAGGAGAATGTGTCGATTCTGATATCAAATGATGGTTCCTATGGCAATCCTGATGACCTTGGAAGTCGTAACTTCATTTGGATGATGATTATCAACATACGAAAAACATGCTTAAAATCTAGGAGAACATGCAACGCTAACTGCAGTTAGAGAAGTTAATGTTTATGGGTAACTTTTGCTCTAGTGGGCAATAAATGCTCATTGTATGTGCTGCAAGCAGGCTCTCTCTCTCTTTTCCCAGACACTTCAGTCCATAGAAGTTATTAATTACCTTTTATCTTGACTTTAAATTCTAGAATTTGTTCTTCATTTTCTAACAATTTCAGGCCAAGTAATATCCTAGATCAACGTAAAACCCTTCTTTTTCGTAAAAAATCAAAATCAACCAATTTGGTAAAAAAAATTTTTCACTTTTTAGGTGAAATATGTATAACGAAAACTCTTGGGGATAGACAACAAAGAAATTGCGCACAAAAGCTGCCGGTTTTGTAGCATGAAACCGTTAACATCCTGTGAGTGCCAAAACAATTTGAATTCTATATCTTGCAAATTATGCTTTGTTATTCAGAATTATACATCATTCAAGCCACCATAAGATGCAAAGCTTTTCCCCGTAAAATTCTCTCAAAGCCAGGGAGAATTATAAATGGGGGTCACAACAGATTTGACATGTAGGTATTTGTGGAGGCCGTCCAGACCGAGATCTCTCCCGAAGCCACTCATTTTGTAGCCGCCATAAGGACAGTCGTTGTCGAATGCAAAGTAGCAGTTTATCCAGATGACGCCCGCTCGGATTGACCTCGAGACCGTGTTCGCTAGATCTATGTTCTTCGTCAGAATCCCCGTCGCTAGACCATACCTCGTGTCGTTAGCCCTCTTGATTGCCTCTTCCACAGTCCTGCAATCCGTCATAAAATGATCAATGTAGCACAATATACTTGCTCTATGGCATCGGAACCGGGTAAGCAATAGTTTCGGGGACCAATAGCGCGGTAGTACTCACTTGAATTTCATGAGCGACATGACGGGGCCAAAAATCTCGTCCTTCACAATCATGTTGTCCTCCTGATGGAAGGATAGAGTTAGACGAAAACGCAGAACAGTCGAAAGTTCAGCTCCTCTCAAAACAGCAGTTCATGTTCTTTAAGGAATGTGTTGTGGATTGATAGAGGACCTTAACATCTGTGAAGATTGTTGGCTGAATGTAGTACCCTTCGGTGCCCACGCGCTCACCCCCGGTCAGAAGCGTGGCTCCTTCTCTCTTTCCATGCTCGATGTAAGAAAGTATCTTCTCGAACTGTTTCTTATCGGCCTGGGATTTACCGTAGTTTGTATCAAGCCAATTGTCAACCATATGCTTAATCGCAAAATCTAGCAGTTTCTTGCTTTTTGCAAGTGTTCGTTCTTACCTGCGGTCCTTGATGGACATTCGGATCAAACGGGTCACCGACCGACCAATCCGTCGCCTTCGCCACTAGCTTCTTCTCGAACTCTTCATAGATCCCTTCTTGAACATACACACGAGAGCCGGCAACGCATATTTCTCCCTGAAATAGAGAGTTGAATCGAGAAACCGTAATGATTTCGAGTATTCGGAGCTTATCTCTGTGTTCGCAAATCTTATAAAAAGTTCATATGTCGTACCTTGTTGAAGAGGATACCGGTCAGAGCTAGATCAGTAGCAGCCTCTAAATCAGCATCATCAAAGACTATAAGAGGCGATTTACCGCCCAATTCAAGCGACACATGTTTCAAATTGCTCGTCGCCGCGGCTTGCATCACAACGCGTCCTACTTCTGTAGACCCCGTAAAACTGACCTGAAGTGAGGTTTTCATGCTGCATCAGTCCAAGCTAAAATCTCACGAGCACATTGTCACAGAATTCAACCAATGTTATGTCGTATGATAATAGAAATTTTCATCAACGAAAGAACTCGGAATTGTACCATATCAATGTCCATATGACTACTTATCGCTGCACCAGCCGTCGATCCAAAACCGGTTACGACATTGATCACTCCATCAGGAACACCGGCCTGATACAAAGCAAACCAAGATTTAAGGCAGAAAATTTACTCGAATAATTTTCATGTGTCCTCTTTTTTTTTTTTTTGGACAACTGTTTTTTTGGAACAAGTTCGTTATGGCATAACAAAGATTCAAATTCGTGTTTTCACTTGCCCCCCAATTGCTGTCTTTAATATTTTGATAAGAACCTATGAAACATTATAACTAGAAAGCTTAACCATCACTTCTAGACTAATAAATGACGAAATTATTTCATTTTGTCTACTGAACTAATTCCAAGTAATTAAATTATCTACTTATTAATCCAATTACATGCTAGAAAAATGACTTCTACCCTCAAAAAGCATCTTTTCCAAGTCGATTGACGTACCTTCTTAGCCAAATGAGCATAAAAGAGAGCCGATAGAGGGGTTTGCTCGGCAGGCTTCACGACCATGGTGCAACCAGCCGCAAGTGCCGGGGCGACCTTCATAAAGAACATGGTGGTCGGGAAGTTCCAAGGGATGATGTGCCCGACCACACCGACCGGCTCCTGCAACGTGTACCCGTGAAGCTCGCGCGACATCTTCAGTACCTCGCCGTGGATCTTGTCCGCTGCGCCGGCATAGTACCTAAGCAGCGTGGCAGCTTGAGGGATGTCCAGGACCTTGCAGATGCTGAATAGCTTCCCGGCGTCGATAGTGTCCAAAGCGGCAAGTTCATCTATATTCTCTTCGATCAAGTCCGCGAATTTTGACATGATCCTTCCCCTTTGCTGTTGATGAAATTTATAACCAAAAGTGATATGAAAATCAAAATTCATGGGCATTAGGATTTAGAAAGAAATGTGGCTTCCACACAGAAAATTATGTTTTGGAGGTTTAGATAGAACTACAAGAATTTCGCTATTCGTTTATTCTTTTGGCCACTAGAATGTTATGATTATGAAATGAAAATAATCAGAAAGCAAGGCCCAGTGTTACTAATTGAAATAGAACAATGCGCTACTTCTTTAGACCGGTCTACAAAGTTAGTTTACTAGGTGATGTGTCGGGCTATAAGTGACATTTTAAATAAGTAAGCCACATTCAAGAACCTAAAATAGTTTAACACATCATCTAATAAACCAATTTAATTGTCAAGCATTTTCTATTAAGATAACGCTAGACATATGTCTCCATATACACTTCTTTAGATATAGGAAAATGAACCAAAATATATGTTCTCAATAAAAAAATGAACTAAAACCTATGTTGCGTATAGTAACTAGTAGTCCAAAGGGGGATTCCTAGCATTCAAAACAATTGCAGAGACTAAGTATAAATTCAATCGAGTCAATCGCATCTCCGGAATTAGTAATCATCACCCCAAGAAGAATGACTGTACCCGATATATATTTTTTCTCATAATGATTGACTAATTCTAAAAAGTGCTAAAGTTAGAAATGCTGAAATATTTATTTTCCTAATCCAGCATAAACAACTGTAAGAAATAAGAGAGGAAAAATGAAATAAAATTATCTTCTCCATGACTATAATGGCTGAGATGGTGACAATTAAAATGCGATTTCGAGCAAAATAACGTAATTGGTAAATATTTTCCATATTTCTCCCTATCTTATGGGGGCTCCACAAAAGTATTTAATGGACCGTTGAATTAGGAGGTGTTTGACATTGTCAATCAAAATCATAAGGGACAAAATCACAAGTTGCGAGCATTGAAGGGCTTCGTGGAATTGAATGATTCCCATTCCGAGGGAATAAAGATTTACAAATTGATGAATTTTCGAAATTGATCTTTTTTTGGTTTGGTCGTGTGTCCTTTTTGCTAATTGTGTAAATTTTCCGCACTTCCACGTTTGAAAACACATAATACACGTTATCAAATATTTATAACAAAGTATTGATACGATGGGGAAGAACAAAGAGAGAAAAGAACGGACAAAAATATCTTTTGCGGTCGATCTGATGCACATCAATCGGCCGATGATGTTGCTTTTTAGTGATTGGTTTTCTTCATGTGTCGTTCTTATGTGGTGCGCCATCAAATAAAATCACGGTCATGTCCACCCGCATGTTGCTCTTAAGAAAATACAATTGTTGCCGTATGATCGAAGAGATTGCTTAAGTACCCAAAATGTAAGAGGAGCCACTTGAGATGCCACTCTTTATTATAGTCTACGCTCATGAATCATCTCTTCAACCATCATTTTTCTTGGGTTTAAGATTACGCTCGAGTCCGTTAACTATTCTTCAATAAAATGGATATTGCGCAAACATGGAAATCGATTCGTTAAAATCAATTTACTAAACGAGGCGTCAGGTCCTAATTTCTAAAATTAATAGCGTAATTTCAATGAAATAATATTCAGGAGTGAATTTATGAGTTTATTTCTAACGGGTATTATCCTTGCTATTTGATGGAAAAAAGAATTCGCAGAAAATGAAATGAGGACAAAAAGGGAGAGAGAGAGAGAGAGAGAGAGAGAGAGGGGAAGGAAGGGACGTACGTAGCCGGGCATCCGTGGCCAAGGACCATCGTCAAAGGCATGGCGAGCGGCTTCCACAGCCAAATCAACGTCCTCTTTGTCTCCCTCTGCAACTCGCGCCGTCACCTGTCCGTTTCTCGGATCTATGGTCTCGAATGTCCTCCCTGTTCGTCCAAGTTTCATCCGCCGTCATAACCAAGAAACCCGAAAAGGAAGAAAAACACAAGAAGGAAGAAACCAACGAGAACAAGAATTTGTGGGGACTGCGCGGTTTTCTATGGTCAACTGCAATACTGTGCACGATTCTCTCGAGGTCAATCTCGATTCGAACGGCCTGTTTTTTTTTTTTTTCTTCTCTTTCGATGCTCTGTTTCTATGTGCTCCGAACAGAGCGGTGAATTTCGCTCGTCCAAAAACAGAACTGCTTGAACGAGACCGAGACCGACTTCAGGACAATTAGTTCATGGCACAACTGTACTTGTGTTTTTTTTAATCTCTTTTTGAGAAAAAAGGACAAGCTAGCAAAGGACAGAACTTTAAAAGCACGTCTGTCCGCGAGAAAAGTGTGGTGAAACATGAAACTGAGCGACAAATCTTCACGTGGGCAGTGCAAAAAACTTGACAAGAGGCTGGTGATTGAATTGGAGGGCCCTCATGAGATACTAAAGAAAGTGCAGACAATATTTTTCTGAAGAAGAAGAGAAACTAAATTTACTAAGCATAAGAACACAGAACTAGGATTGTTCGTCGTCGTCGTCGTTTGAGTTACCGAGAAAACAACAATTCGAACGAGTATTCTGAATTCTACCTTTGACGGAATCGACGAACTCGCCATTGATGAAGAGCTTGGTGAACTTAATCTCCGGAACATGTTCATCATACTTCTTCAGGCTCCCGTTCGCGTTGCTCTGGTTCTCCGCCATCTCTCTCTCTTCTCTGCACTCAAACTCTCTTGCCTTTTTTGGGAGGAGGGAGGAGGGACGGTCCCTTTATATAGAAGTGTAGCTAGTCGTTTGCCTTCTCGCAACGCGTGGGGGTATTTTGGGAAGAGAAGCTTTTGTAACAATATCTATTTATTGCTCATGGGTGACAACACTAGAGGGAAAATCAGTCACGACACACAATTCACCTAATTTCCATGAATTCCTCCTTGTTTTTTGCCTTTTGTTCGGACTTTAGTCCATGAAAAAGAAAAATTCACAGACGCCATTGGTCGGATTCGACAAGGGCTCGTGGTTCATGTTCACGATATTTAAGTTAAGGGCATGTGCCGATAAAATTGTTAGTCACACGAAACCCTTCGATCGGTTATGTTAAGAGTTCAAAAAGTCCGTCAAAACTCATGTGGGCACAAATGCGTTAGCTAGATTTATGTGTTGATTTCTTCAAATACCATGCAAATGATATGTCTAGCATCCTCCTTTCTTCCATTCAGGATGGAGTTTCTTTATTTTTACGGTCATCGGAAAGTTTTTATCCCCGCATGTAGTATTTATGACGTAATAATTGTGTAAATATGAGGGAGATTGAGTTCTTAATGATCTGCATGAATATTAAGGAAAGGGACAAAACCCTTCGAAGGACAACTTAACAAAACCATTTTAAAGACAACTTACTTTTTGTTATGATGGTTGACATAAGACTTCAAAGAAAGCAAGGCATGGTGGACAAGTTTTAATAGCCACGTTCACACGTGTTGACCACGCCTTATTTTTCCTTTAATTTATATATATATGGAATTATTTGAGGTTCAAAAGTCAGAGGACATCAATTAATAGATTGTTTTTCTTTTTTATTTTCAGAGTAGATTGTCATTTGAATGAAAATACTTACGGTGCATTTGTTTTGCGGAAAACTCAATAATAAAGGAAAATATTTTCCGAAAAAGCATTTTTCGATAATACGATTAGTTTTCCTTTGTTTGGTGATATACGATCGAAAACATTTTCTAATGTTTGGATTTTATTAGAAAATGATTTCAATCTCATGACTTTATCTCAAGTAAAAAAAAATCTAAATTTTTAATAATTTTAATTTTAATTTTTTTATTTTATTTTTTCTCTTTTCTTTTTCTTTTCCCTTTTCTTTCCTTTTCTTTTCCTCCTTCCTCCTTCCTCGGCCGCGACCGGTTGGCGACGGCCACAGGCGAGCTCTCACTGAGATCTGGCGAGCCTCGAGCGAGCTCCGACCTCGGGCAAGGTCGAGGTGAGGTGGAGGCGGCGACGTCGAGGCGACGAGGTTGAGGCGAGGTCGAGGCGACGAGGTTGAGGCAAGGTCGAGGCGACGAGGTTGAGGCAAGGTTGAGGCGGCGAGGTGGGCGAGGCTCGAGCTCGAGCCTCAAGCTCGTCGGACTCAAGCGAGCTCGACCTCGCCCTGGCGAGGCTGGCGAGCTCGGCCTCCATTGAGGCCGGCTGTCGCCGTCCCACACTTATGGCCGGTCGCCGAGAGGAAGAAGGAAAAAGAAAATAAATAATATTAACAAAATCAAGATGAGCAATTCCGGAAAGTGTTTTTACATTCTTAAATTAGGGAATTCACTTTCTTAATTTTATACATGAACGTTTTCCTTGACTGAAAAGTATTTTCGGTTGACTTACCATTTTCGGTAAAGTCCGAAAAATGGATTCAGGGAAAACACTTTCCCTCAAACAAACGCACCCTTAATCTCAATACAACAAAAACATGAGAATTACCTTTGAGATAAAAAGGCTTACAACTTTGAAATTGATGCGTGGAGTAACTTTTATTTTGTTTTCGTTTTCGTGGTGCAAGTTTTTGATATTAACATCTTTTGTAAATCTAAGTATTTTGACTTATTTTCACTTTTAAACGCTTGAAAACTTCTAAAATTGCAAATAGTAACATGCTAATTCACATATGATATTGCATAAGTTTTAAAAATTAGAAGAATATTTTAAATGTTGGCGGAAAAGAAATAAATTGCTTTTCACTATTTAGGAATCGCAACAAACAAACTCTACTACCACCAGCCTGGATGGCGCTGCTGGAACGCGCACTCTTCGTCTCGCAAAAGGTTGAGTATTCGAATCCCGGGTGCCGTAGGGTGACTTAACCGGTGCACGTGTGTGGTGGCTAGCACGTGTCGCCCCCAGGGTTTACCTCCCGGCTGTCGGCCGTGCGAGGGTTCCCTGGGTCATCAAAAAAAAAAAAAAAAACAAACAAACTCTACTTAATTACTCAATTGTGACACAAGGGGAAAGAAATTATACATCATTGAAAAAGATTATCGAGCAAAAGAATGCGAGTATCGCATGAAATAGTTGAAAAGTAAAATGAAAGTAGAGAAAATTTTAAAAACGAATGATTATCGGGCTTTTTTAATGATTAAATAAACGCATATATGTTTTGAAGAGTCGTGAATTAGGCGCATGACATAAATTCCTTCAGTTGTGTTACGCAGTGATTCGATTATTCCTGCTAATGTCGTACTGTTTACGGCTTGATCTACATAAAATAAAAGATTTAGTGCGGTCCTTTCTCCACTATATAATTATACTTCCCCATTTTTCTCCCAAATTTTTTTTATCAGCAGCCCTACAATTCGAGGGATAAGAAAGAAAACTAAATGCAAATCAATCACGCAAGCTGGCCATAGAATTCGGTCAGAACAAGCTAAAAAGCACGTTCAAATTTAACTTTTGCAAGCGAAACCTATCTTTCTATTTCACATTATAGAAAACAAAGCAAAGATTACTTCATCTTTTCTTAAAATATGTTTTTGTACACCGAATAACACACATTAATTTCTTTTCGAGAAAATAATCAATTGAACACCGCGACAAAAAAAACGGGCAAAGTAATTTCGTCGAGCCGATTTGTGCTTCAGGTACTTTGATTTCGCTAATTAGTTCGATTTGAATAATCGGATTGAAATAGAAATTTTGGTCCCTAGAAGTTTTTGGGAAAAAAAACTTAATTGTGATCGATCAATGCTCCAACTTCCACCATCTTGCGGTAGGGCCATGCAAAATCAAGGAATTAAAGGGCTGTGCTAGGAGCTGATAAAGTTGGGTACGGCAGGTTCTTTGGGTTTTGTAGGCGTGGACGAAATACTATCTCAAAATATAGTAAAGACAAGGTTTGCACATATTAAAAGATTGCCAATTATTCAATTTATTTGCAAGTGGATTCTCGCAATCTCACTGTTCGTTCTTCTATCTGTAAGATGAAATGTCTTGTCGTTAGAAGGTCAAGTATAGGAAAATGGGCTAATATATTTTCCTCCATCCCAACTTGGAGGATTGCTACTAATCAAAAGGAATTTGCTTCGGTCAGAGATGAAGCCGAAACTTAGAAAATTGTCTCGCCATTCTTCATTCCGGTTTGATTGCGGGATGAGTTATACCATGTCCCCCATGTTTGCGCACGAGCGTCACGATAGCCTTTTTATATATCCTCAACTAGCTATCCTCAATGATGTTGGGTATCGAAAATGGTCAACCAATTCCCATAAACACATGGGTATCATCTACTACAGACAAATTTAGTGATGTTTTGACCTTTGGAATGACGAGCGAATGACGGGCGTGATCTCGAAATTGCATCAAATCGAATAAGCTATGATTTGAATGCATAATATGCAATCTTATTCCCTAAATGTGTAACCGTTCTGGGTTGTCGCAATCTCCATTCAATAAGTCAACGTTTATCATTGACATCACTTGCCTTAAAAAAACAACATAAAGAAATCGACATTTGCAGGTCAAACTCAAGCCATCTCAAGCCGCCCGACGTAATTATCGGGTCCACATGGGCTGTTCATGGAGCGGTGCAGGATGTGTCGACGGATGCGGGGACACCATTTGGGCGAGGCAGGGCAATGTCGTTGAATTTGTCAAAGTTCTACCTCCCTCACTGCGTCTACACATTCGTATATATTTATATATAGAGTTAGAATGGGCAGAGAAAAAAAGGGCGGTGCTAGCATAATGGTACCGTTAGATGGAATTTCTAACGATGCCGTTGACACCACATATTTCCTTCCAATACAAGCGTTGTCAATTGAGAGTGGAAATGAGTTTCCTTTCAAACAAGTTTTTTGGAACAAATTTGTGGCAGCGAGAGTACCGTTACTCTCACCGCTTCCCCCCCAAAGAAAAAAGGAAGCATAGGGAGAGATTGAAAAGGAAAAAAACCAAACAGATATACTTGCTTTGAAAATGGAAATGGGGGAATTTGTCCAATTGGTGACATGTTAATTCAATCCCAAACTTTTTAGTTTTATAAATTTAGTCATGAACCTTTACACGAAATTTTAATATAATCTTTTTGATCAATTTTAGCCGGAAGTCGCTAATGTAGGACGGTCGGCGATGACTTGATCGCCACGCTAGCAATTTCTGATAAAAATTGATCGGAATGACTATATTAGAATTTCGAGTAAAAGTTTAGGATTAAATTGATAAAATTGAAAAAGTTTAGAACTAAATTTATATCAGTATAATATGTTTAGAACTAATTAAGTAATTTTATTATATCGAAATGTTTCACTATATTTTTTTGTTCGAAAAATGTCTCCCTATCACCCATGTAGCTCTGTCTTTATCTCAACCGACAACAACTGGCGTTAGCTTGTTTCAAGGCTAGCTCCAACCGATATTTCTTTTCGGTTTTTCTTAACTAACAAATAAGTGCGTTGACTTTTCATAAAAAAACAGGCGAAGTCGATAAATCCAAAAAAAATCTTGAAAGATGTGTAGGGTTTTAAAGATCCGAGGAACCCAATAGAAAACAAGGTCGACACTCAAATGATATAAATAAAAAAAATTGAAAATAAAATTAATTCTAAACACATCGGTAACATCGAAGAATTAAATCTTTGAATCTCAATTAGATGAATTCTATACATAATCTAATGGGAAATGCTTGGAGTACGGTACTATCACTTTTCACAAAGTGATCATACCCTCTGATCACAAATCTCATGTATATGTAG